CCCCCCGCCCGCTCTATCGCGCATGTACGTACGTCGCACGTTTCCTCTGCCGGACTCGCCACTCTCTTTTCTTCTGCTGCTGGTCTTTGTCTTCGATTGTAACGGAAAGCTAGGCTTCCGACCGCTAGGGCGACTTCCTTCGATGACCTCCTGAAAGGTTGATCTCAACATCTTCCGCGCGCTCCATCGATCTATTTACTCTCGTACGAATATGGCTAGAGAATACCGAGTTCTACTTTTTATCTTCATGCGATCATGACGTCACGTGCCGTACCATGAGTGTGAGTACGCAATATTTGGTCACCGGGTTATTGGATATTTGTTTAACATTAGCAAAGCATAGAATAATATGGCGTATAGATATCACACGGAGAGAGAGAGATGTTACGTAAAATTAGTAGTGATAACACTATCCACTGACTTAATTGTGAATTATTTCAGAAGTATAGGATTCATGTAGTCCCAACAAATTTTTTTCAAGAGTAGAACGTGGCAGATAAATGTAAAACAGAAATAGAACATTGTCGATGAAAAAAAGAAAAACAAAATGTATGTTTGATAAAATTATACGAGAACCAACGGGACCTGTCCAATAGTTCGAAAGAAAACACCAATGTGGTTGGTTGTTTTTTAATGCATTAATCCATGCACAATAATATTAATTATAATTGTGCCGATAAAATATTGAAATATAGAAAATTATAGTGAGGTGCTACGTAGAAAGTAATCGGTATGGTAGATATGCGCAATGCAAGAAGAAAGGCTGATGAGAAAAATATATCATTTCTGCTCCGGGAATACATTTGACGCAATGTCACACGTAGTAGAGTTTTCGATGTCGCGATAAGCGGAGTCAACAATCGGAGATTAACCCATACAGCACAGGCACATTGTAGACATGTTTAATTACAAGATTGTAATGTTACAAATATATTGCGAAGTGTTGCCGCGAGATTGCGGCAACATTAAAATATCCGCTTTTTGGAAGATTGCAATAAAAATATTATAGCAATATTGCCATGTAATGAATTTGCAATAATGTATTGTTACTGCAATTATCCAGTAATATTACATATAAGAATGCAAGAAGGTTTTTCGTTCGAATAAGTAAACATTGGAAAGCATATGAAGATGTATAAAAATAAGAAAAAGCTAAATGCAAACAAATGCAAATTTACAATAATTTCACAAATACTCAAGGTATGAATACAAATACAATATTTTAGTCTAGAATATATATACAATAGTGTTGTTATATAACATATGAATGCATAGCTTTATACATATATGACTTATTTATATTGTTGTAAATATATTTATAAATATATTATGTAGGAATATTGCGAATTTTTGTTTACAAAAAGCTTTCCCTTGTTTTATTTGTCTCCATATGTTTCACATATGTTAGTATATGAATACATATTTCATATCTTTTTATTTACATGTGTGTTAACATAAACATTAATTAATTTTAATTGTAATTTATATTAAATTTATCACACAGCTTGTTAATAAAAAAATCCTTCGTTTTATCGAATATTCAAAATAATTCCTGCTGTCATAGTCCACTGATTCCACTGATTTATGCTGGTCTAATTCACTAATGATTGAAACGACCTTTTATGTTACTCAAAAGTAGCAAAGTGAAATAATGAATTAAATGAAGAATTGACATTCAATCCGGGATCTTTCACAGACGAAATTAGGAACATCCAGCTGCATATTGCATGCAGTAAGCCATGAACTTTACTGTATCTTACGTGGCTGATAAACTTTTCCAATATATATTGTAGATAAATGAGAACTGGAAATTTATATATAGTTTCATTATATATAATTATATTTTATATTGAATAATTTTACATTGATAAGAGTCTAAAAAATCCAAATGTTTGATCTCCACTTATTTATATGATTCATTTAAATACATGACTTTCTTTTTCTAACACATCAACACTTTGGTGTTCGACTCTTATAGGCTTTCCTAATCTTAAACTGATTAGTTGATTTATAAGCAATTAACTTAGTTAACAAAAAAATTAACTTATCCAATCCTAATCGCAAGTGTATTTAATAGATATTCAGACAAAAGATATCGCTTTATTATATTGTTATATTATAATATGATCTCAAGGCCTCGAACTTGCCTTCGTCAATTTGTTTTTTTGTTCTCGTTGTTTTGTACTGCTTTTTATGTACTTTAGTGCTCAGTGGTCTATTAGCTAAGTGTTAATGAAAGAAAAATTGTCTCAAGAAGCGGAAGAAGAAATTAATGGTAAAATTAGTATATCTGTGAGATACAACGCAATACCATTCATGTGAAAAATATTGCGACTAACGGACGGTTAAGAGAATAAATATTTAAAAAAATTAACATTTTGATTATTAACATAAAAGCATATATGAAAACATAAAAATTTTCACCAAATGTAAAGGCAAATAAAATGCAAGTAATCATGTGCGCATCCATATATTTACAAGTTATACTATCTAATATAGCGTTCTTGACTACCCTCCTTCCTGCCATCATAGACCGCTATCCAACCTAATAGACCTCCTCTCGTGGTATGACATAATTGTTGGGAAAAAAAACTGTATAAAATTCCCTTCATGTATGTGAAGAGATTTTCGTCAACACATCACTACGCTATATTTTTATTCATTTTCTTCTGTCGTCGCACACGCGTATATTGACAATGTATGTATTTCAGAGGTAAATACGCAATGGTCAGGAGATGCCGTGAGAGATCCAGTGGCAGGCAGTGGGCCGCCAAGTTCCTAAGAAAGCGACGACGCGCGCAAGAGCTCAGAGCGGAAGCGCTTCACGAGGTCGCGGTACTGGATGCCACAGCCCATTGTTGTCGTCTTGTTTCCCTCCACCAGGTCTTTGAGACCAACACTGAGATGGTGCTCGTGCTGGAACTGTAAGTAATGAAGAAATTAGTGGTTATCAGTGTGTGCCTTTATCTTCCTCCCGAGATAGCTCCAATTCGAATGAGAATTTTATCAATTTGCCTATTATCAAACGTATTTTATATGATAACGGATCATTTCATTCGTGTAAGTATTGATAAATTGTTCGCGCTAAGTTAAAGGAGATAGAATAATGAAACTACCAACCATTGCCACTCGTGTGTGTGTGTAGCCGTATTACTTTCTAAGTGTCATAATCCCTGCTGATTGTTTAAAAAGTAGGACGAAGCGTGAACTTATGATTTAATTATAAGTAATATATATATAGGGTAGATCAATAATTTTTTCCACTTTAAATATCTTCCTCATTTTTTAGAAATATTAGGAAATATTGTATTTACAAAAAAAAAGTTGTACGGTATTAAGTGGACAATAATATACTATATATAATAATAACCATAATAATAATATACTATAATAATAAAAATAATTTGTGACGTGACCTCTGTCGATGAGCGTCACATAGAGTGAACTCCCCAGGAGGATTCTCTCTCTCTCTCTCTCTCTCTCNCTCTCTCTCTCTCTCTCTCTCTCTCTCTCTCTCTCTCTCTCTCTCTCTCTCTAAGATGTTAAGTTGCGCCTTCTGCGCACGGTATCAGAGTATCGGGGATTAATGCGCCGAGGGGTAAACGTCTTATTTTATAAGTATTTCGTCCCGAGCGGAAGAAGACTGAGCGGAAGAAAAAAAATAGCGGAAAGCTCCTGATGAGGAAGAAAACCGCCGGACTTCTAGTGCAATGCCGTGCTCTGCTACGCTACGCTCAGTATTCAATATAATTATATTAATATTTAAATATATGCAATGTATGAATTACAATTGTAAAATTATATTAATTTGTAATTAAAATTAGTTTGTAATTATATATTTTTATAAGTTCTTAACAATTGATAACATTTCATGACGGAAGAAACCACCACCTTCTCGCGGTTTCCGTCGAGCAACAACATGTACGTCGTACATTTATAAAATACGATAAATACGATGTATATATCGATGTAATTAAAAATAAAGTTGTATCAATCTTGCTTTCTTTTCGTTATTAAGAAATATTTTAATATATTTTAATAAGATATATTTATTAAAGGAAAACGTACACGTTGGCCAAGAGTGGATTTCATTATTTTTATAATTCTACGTATGCGGAATGCACAATTATTAAGTTGTAAGATATATTCGTCCTGTTTTTTAATGTTTTTGAAATTATTTATTTGCATATTCGGAAATAAGTTCAATCAATTATATGTGTGCCATTTCGAATCGATGATCTTCTTCTATCTTTCTGGTAGCTGAAAAATTCCTCTCTTGTAGAATTCCAAGGACTTGTTAGTGCAAAAACTGATCCAAGTGATTTTCACAGGAGTTCAAATTTGATAAATTTACATCATTAAGAGAGAAAGAGAGAGAGAGAGAAAGAGAGAGAGAGAGAGAGAGAGAGAGAGAGTTCTGCAAAGCTCTAAACAAATAATCTGCCTGAAGGTGCAAGATCTGGATTATATTTAATGGATGCACATCCCAGCCAAGAAGCAACAATTTTTTTCAAGTTTCCATGGAAATGTGTAGTCTAGCGTTGTCATGATGAAACACAATGTCCTTTCTATTGATCAACTTCTGCCTCTTCCTGTCAATTCCTTCCTTCCTAGTTTGGCTAATTGCAGAGCAGTATTTAATAGAATCAATAGTTTGGTTTGATGGTAGCAGCTTGTAGTACAGGATAACCTTCCTTCAATCCCACCACACAGCACAGACCTTCTTTGAATGCAATTCAGTCTTTGCGATTGTATTATGCAGCATTGCTGGAGCAATTTAATGCGATGTTATTAAGCACAAACGTCTACATTTGGCAAAGAAAAAAATGCTTTTCCATCACCACAATACACCTCACGCTCGAACTTCTTCTATTGTAGTCGCAAAGTTCCATATAAATTGCGCATCGAATTGCTGTCACACGCACTCACCGTACTCACCACCAGATTTAACCCTCAATGTGACTTTTTCCTATTCGCGAATCTGAAGAAATGACTCGTTGGAAAAAGATTCATTTCAAATACACGGAGGTTATCGCTAAAACATGCATATTTTGCAAAATTCGAGAAATTGTATTTTATATTGAAGGTATAAAAAAAAAAGTTAGAATCTCGTTGGTTTTAATGTATAAGAGTTAAAAAGGCACTATGTTGAAAAATTAAAAAAAAATGGTTCAAAATCGCGTGTTTTCTTTGTCAAGCCGAGACCTTTTCAAACTACCCTCGTAGGGTAGGGTAATGGCCAAAACTAATTTCGGTGGTATGCAAGTAGAGCGCGGGTGAAATTGAACAGAAAAATCATTCATGTACTATTTTGCAAAATTCGCATTAGTTAGTGAGGAATGAATTATTTTGTCTGAACTAATGAGTGCACGAAAAAAGGTAGGCTGGGTTCTGTTTAAAAAAATGACTTACTTCTGAAGATATTCTCTAGCAACCTCGCATGTCGCTCGCTACGTTTCTTTGCCTTTCAAGAAATCAGTTGATGTTCATCGTTGCTAGTAGGAGATTTTCAGAAGTAAGCCAAGTTTTCTTTATACAATACCCGATCTACCCTTTCCCGATTACGTTCATTAGCTCAGACAAATTAATTAATTCTTCACTAACTATTGCGAATTTTATAAAATGGTACATGATTTTTCTGCTCACCCGTTTCATTCGTTCTACTTGCACACACTGCGGGAACGGAGATTAGTTTGGAACACCTATAAATACACACACACACACACACATACACAGGGAGACCATTTTAAAAGACCTCCTCTGAACCTAAGTCTCAAGTCAATAGTTACAAAACGTTAAAATCAAAAAATCGTTTTCATTGCGCTCAAGATACAATTCCGAAACGTGTCCAGTTGAATACGTTTTTTATCCATTTTGGTTAGTAGCAGACACAATCACCCACTCAACTTCCTCATATCTAAATGTTCGTGTGTAGGACGATGTGCCCGACGTTCAGATAAAGTGCTAGCAGCCTCTACTCTCTCGTTCGGAGTCAATTGGTGGATCGTTCATCACGACTTGATAAACCAAATCAATATATTTTCATCGATTGTTACTTGGTCTTTGGGCATTCTGAGTGTCCTTCGTCAAAAATGCGATTACGTTTACGAAACTCAGTAACGTTTTTACTATGTAAAACGAAGGAGAAAGGTTTTGTCGACATATATCGTGTTTTTAACTCGGCTTTGATTTCGATTGACGATTTTTTCCTTTCAAATGGAGGAATTTTATCACAGCTCGACCCCCTCGACAAAAAAGCTGTAACAGCTGTTCAATTGTGGAAACTCTCATAGAAGAACTAGATGTCTCAGAATTACCTAAAAATTCAGACGTTTGTGTCATCAGTCGGACTACAATTGAACTGTAGACCAAGTCTCTTTCTTGGCCAGAAACTTTTCAATTGATCTTCTCGTATATACGTCGCATATACATATCAGTCGCGAAATTGCAGTATTTGTCCAAATTCGAAATTGAACTGAACACCACTGTTTTGACGAAGTGCAGAATTGATTTAAATAAATTTATACCGTACCGTTGCACACACACACGAGCGCGCGAGAAAATAAAAACATGAAAATAAAGAAGAAGAATAATACGTATGCTATGAAATATAAATATTGTGCAAATCGCGAATGACAAAGGTAAATTCTTATCGCTACAGGGCACCCGGCGGCGAATTACAAATGATACTCGACCGAGACGAAGTTCCGGAAGAACGGCAAGTCGCTAGATTACTAAAGCAAATTTTGGACGGGATAGCTTTCTTGCATTCCTTGAATGTAGCTCACCTCGATATCAAGGTAAGTTTTTGAATAATTGAAATTCAACATCTTTTTCAATTGTCCGGAACGTTCTTTGTCTTCCACATTTAAGTCGCCACATCTGAATGTTGAAACCACTCTACATGTTTTTTCTGATGGAACTTGTTCACTATAAGTTTCAAAAATCAATCGATGCGCTTTTCTTCATATCGAAGTATTGAAGAAGTGCATGTCGGAAAAACTATTTATCACGATTCATTTTAAATCAATTAAAAAATATTTCTGCTTTCGCAAAAACCTTTGCACACTGAATTTTATTTTTATTCCTAAGACCAGTTCGTAACGTTCTCTTATTTCGACCGCTCATGTGTTGCTCGAATCAGATGAGGATAATCTCATCATCACTGTATTCGCATATCGAACGTTGCATAAATGTGATTATTTTTCATCTTCATGATTAATATTTTCAAATAGACCGTTCTGTCTACATTACATTATTGATTTAGTGGATTCATGTGAATGACTTATCTTTTTCTTTTGTAAATCATTTAGCATCGTCATCAAACAACATAATTGGAATTTTAAAACTGTTAGTTAATTTGCCTTTATTTTTATATTCTTTTCATTACTTTAAAGAAGAGTTCGCCTCGTAGATGAATAATAAATATATAAATGAAATGAAACGATGGAGGAGCACATAAATTTGGTTTTTTTTTTTTTTTTTTTTTTTAAGTATACTCACGTGGCAGGGAATGTGTTAATAACAGAAAACTGTGTGCCTCATTTCATTTCTCTTCTGTTAATGTTTCAGCCCCAGAATTTAGTACTTACCGGGAAGTTCCCGGACTGCGACGTAAAATTGTGCGATTTCGGCATATCGCGATACATCAGTCATGGAGTAGACATTCGAGAGATCTTGGGCACGCCCGATTATATCGGTGAGTATCGTCTTTTCACAATTATTATTCATTTTTTCGACTCTCCGAAAGAAACGCGTCACAATTTTTTTATACACAATATGCCCCAGTACATGAAAAGGTGATTAGTGTCAAATGAAACATAAGGCGTTATATATATTTTATTTTTATTATTGATGAGCAAAGAAACCGCATTTCCCGAGAGAAATGCCGTTATTTTTCTCGAATTTAATTACCGCGATTTACGCACTGGGGGCACTAGGGTTTAATGTACCTGGTAGAAGCAAGAGGAGGCACATACCTACACGCCATAATTCGTTCGTCTCCTATGTGTATTCCAGCTCCAGAGGTTCTGAATTACGAGCCAATCAGCCTCGCGACCGACATGTGGTCCGTCGGTGTACTGTTCTACGTGCTATTAACGGGATGCTCGCCATTTGGCGGCGATACTAAGCAAGAGACGTTCTGCAATATCAGTAGATGTCGACTGGACTTCCCGGATGATCTCTTTGAGGACGTCTCTGAAGAGGCGCGAGATATCATGCGCAAACTCATGGTTAAGGATCCGAAGTAAATAATTCTATAATGAACCTCAAGCCTAAAACTGGCAACAGGCGGCAGTATATAGCAAAAATAAATTAATGTTGCCGCAACGTTCGTGATTAATTGGGCCAAAATAATAATTCATATAAAAAAATTAATTAAACTTTTCACCGCAGTATTATATATTATGTATATACAATCTATATACAGAATATCCCGACCCGCGTCAACCATTTAAAAATGTGAGGAATGGTTTTTTATCAAAAATCCCTAAAATTTTGATAAATAAATCGGGTGCCATTCTGTTGAATGGTAATATTTTTAACTTCCAGTTCTGAGTGAAAGAATCGGCTATTCAGACTGAAAATCGACTTTTTTAAGATCTCAAATTTTTGTGCGTCTGGCGCCTACGGAGACGGTCGCGGGGGGAGGCCTTCCCAAGCATAACGTCCTGATAACTAAGAATTTAAAAAGACGAACACCTCGAACATTTTTTTTTTAGGATTTTTCAAATGGGGAAGTGACGATTTTTTGGAAACTGGTCCGAAATATAGAAGACAAACTTTATAGACAGCTTGTGCGGCGGTAATATACGCACGATATGAGCCATAGGAAGACGTTTCAGTGGGACGACAGTAGCCACCATTGATAATACACCGGCTGCTCGCAGAGATCATTATGCGACGAGTCTTTTAATCCCTTGTCTCTCGCTCGCGAGTTAATGAAGACGTCGAAAGTATGGGTCGTTTACGAAAAGTAGGCTATATATGTCAAAATATATATTTGTTTAAGAGAGCCGTACGAAAACAGCGGATGAGTTGTCGGAATTTCTTTTGCACGTTCCAACGTGATCGTAAATGTGTTGACACAGGATAGAACTATTGCGCGCGAGAATATGTATCGCATGTAAAACATAGCAAGCTTTTGTAGCGAGTAACCGTTGTCTGTTTGCAGTGAACGCCTGACGGTGACCGAATGTCTCCAGCATCCCTGGTTCAGCAAGTTCGAACAACTGCCGGCGCCGTTGTCCACATGTTCCACCTCGTCGAATGACTATAATTCTAGCGCAAACTTGCCCATGGCAACTTCGCGACCAGACTTTCCGCTCTCTTTGTCCTCTCAGAAACTTACCATCACTAACAGCCAAACGTTCACAACGAGCGCGTCGTCGACACCGAAGAGCGACGCTGAAAAGCGACATTCATCTAGCTTGAGCGGCCATAGTGCGGATTCCAAGCAAGCGATGAATCGTGCTGCTTCCTTCTACGCGAAGCCTCCTAAGTCGCCGTCCAAGTCATTGCCTAAGCCCATTAGGTTCTGCGGCCTGAGCTCGGACCGCAGGGACACCTTCAAAAGAAACATGGACTTGCTGGCGCGTAAGTTTTCCGCCACGGAGATTGTCATTATCGAGCCGATGATGCCGGACGCGACTGCAAGCGGGGACGAAAGTACGAACGCGGTAGTTGCCACCGCCAATAGTGGTGCCATCGGTAGTACCGACGGCGCTCAGCTTCGTACCACCGCCACTCACACGACTGGCCCAGCTGGCGAAGTGTTCAAATGTACGCCCGTATTTATCCTTGGCGAAGAGCAACAATGTAGCGACAGCGGCAGTGATACCGTCTCCGAGATCTCGACCGACAGCTCGAGCGACCGCAGCAGCATCTACTCGGACGACTCTTTGGACTTCATTTTATATAGTAAGAATCAAGGCAGAGCGACTTTTCCGTTTTCGGCCGAATCGACAGATGCCGACAGATGGGAGCAGAGACAACATCGTAACAGCAGAGCATGGCCGCGTGAATGCAACGGCATCGTCAGCAAAGCCCTCAGCCGTTTCACGTCGGAGACGAAGTCCAGCGCGAAGATTCCGACGACGACAATACCTTCAACGACGGCAAAGACTTCGACGACGACGACGACGACAACAACGACCGCTGGTCTCGAGACGCTTCGAGAGCGAGGTGGCAACCTGGTGGTCATCAGAGAGCCTGTCCGAACCGGCCGGTATACCAGGTACTGCGAAGTGCAATGCGAATCTGTGCAGGCACGGATCCGTCGGTTTCAGGTGCAGCACGATGCCTCGTAAGATTCTATAAATATACGTATATACGCTATATATGTGTTTCGGGTATTCTCGATGCCAGATGATACGCGAGAACGATGGCGGTGGGATTCAAAAGATCCGAAAGTAAGGTTGAGTTTAATAAACAGTTATATATATATATAACTGTTTATTGAACTCAATCTTACTTTCGGATATATATATATATACAGGGTGTCCCAGACTACCCGTCTCACCCGATTTTTTCGTAAACGCGACATTTTAAAGAAAAATGCTTCAGACAAAAGTTTTGTGACTTCGAGGGGCACATAAGATGGTGTCATTGGTTTGACTTTGGATAGTCGTTTGAAGATCACGTGAAGGTCACCTTTAATTTCTTAAATGGAAACCCCCATTTTTCAATGCATATTCTTGTAGCTTACCTCGAGAGCTTTCCAAAACGCTATAATGAAACGTTTTTTTAATCAGTACTTTTCGAGTTATGAGGGTTGAAAGTTACGGTACCGCCGGCATTAGCATTACCCA